TCAGAGTGAAACCAAAAAAAAGTACCGCTACATATTTTGACTGTATTTTTACTAATCATGCCTCGGAAACAAGCTGTTGACAGTATTAATAGTAATTCATTATAATATCAATTTATACGCATAATTTTTTTCCATTCTCTTTCTCTCTCCTGCTCTCTTTCGCTACAGAACATAGTGAAAAAGAGGCGAGAAGCGACAGCAATAATGAAATTATAATGGTTATTTATTATTCACATTTGTGTTTCACTTTGCTGTGGCGTTCGGTGTAGATAGTCGTCGTTTGTCGATCAGAAGAGTGTGTAGATAAAGTTATTTGCTTAATCATAGAATGGTTTATCGCTGCCGGCAACGCATTGATGTCTATGTTAAAATTTTACATTTTAATATAAAACATCATAAATAATAATTTTGCATGGTTTTTTCATGCATATTTTCTGTTTTCAATTAACAAGTCTCGCATTTGAGTTCGTCAACTATCTATCGTATGGAATGTGCGATGAAATTGATTCTTTTGAAATTATTGAAGTGAAAAATGAACTTAATAAAAATTAAAGTTATAAGGATTCTTGGTCGGTCGTAATCGATATATTCGGTTTGACTATCGAATGATTCTGGCGGTTTTCTTTTTAGAAGAAAAAAAAACAAATTCTCTCCATGATCGACACGAGTGTCAAACACTTCAACTGAATAATCTTCGAAGGAAATTAACGACTTGTAAAACGGCCTGGGCGTCAGAGTCTATCAACACACTGCTCATCGCTTGTTAACAACAATTTCGATTATTTATTACATTCAATCTGAACATTTTTCACATTTTCAAGAATTCTTTTGATTTTATAATAAAATAAATATCCTTTTGTCGATGCGCGTTATGCTTTACATTTGAAATGGTATCGATATAAACAATCCGAAACAAAATCAACCGATTTAATGTTACAATAAAAGAAAGCAACGAGCAGAAAAAGAGTATGCATTGAATATAATGTAAAAAAAAATCCCCAACTAAAAACTCATAAAGACAGCAGCGAATAATATTTATTACGTTGTTAAAGTCTATAACAATGAAATCGAATAACAATGGTTCGGAGCTACAAAAAAAGCAGTAAAGAGGCGAGAGAAAGAACACATTAAGGCTGCAACAACAAAAAAGAGTTGTATATTGTTAACATACGGCAGCCAGTCAGTGAAATGAAAAAAATAACAACAACAGCAAGTCGAACGAGGAGAGAGAGAGAAAGAGAGAGAGCAAATGACTAGGGATTCATCGGTGCTGCATTGAATCAGATCAGAACACACTGCAGTAGGCTTTAACACACGTTTGTTTCAATATCTTTTACATGAACCGAAGGATGCATCCATGTAATTTTGAAGGCAACAAGATGAACACAAGTTTTTTTTAATCAACTGACGTTGAGATTTTTTTTCACGGAATGTGTTGGGTTGATGTTTCAATAAGAATATATAGTCAATCGAGAATTTTATTGACTTTATTGACGTCAGATGATATCAATTTCACATTTTCATTGCACTTGAGTGATATGACCACCCAACTTTTGTTCACTTTTTACGTGAATTTGCATTTCTTTCGATTTTTGGCGGAATTCTTTAAAGATTTTTGCAACTTTTTCGTTCGTTTTTTATTGAAAAAAGTATTATTAATTTTTGCCTTTTTTGCCTCCGATCAAGAAAGTGAGCTTGAAAGTAACACTTTTTAATGAAATTAATATAGTTTGTGAAGTGAAACGCCATGGAGCCAACTATGCAAATGAACTTTGAGTTACATCGCCTGATATGGAATTACGTACATCCACTTGCCAATCAAGTCGCATTATATCACTCTGTTTTTGTCATATGCGCGTGTCTTGTTCTTGTTCATATTTTCTTTATTTCAAGAATAGCATGAAATTTCTTGCGATACAATTTCCTTTTTTTGCGATAAAATCCTATTCTCCAGAGAAAAAAGTGGAGCGCACTATCAGCTGATACTATGCTCGAGAATAAACACATTCTGTTCTTAATTTAGAAATGTTGTGCTGATAAGTAACAGTGTATTATGATACTGATAAGTATGGGAATACTATGCGTTTAATAAGTTTAAGACGATTTCTTTAACGTAAAAACAAAGATAATAATAAAAAAAGCAGAAATTACGTGGGTACCGATTTAGCATTAGCACTAGTGCCGAATGCCCACAGCACAAATAAATTGATTTTCTCAGTGTTTTTTGTTCAAATCTTCATTTTCAAGTTTGCTTGCTTTTTGTCTGATCGCATTGTTTTCTTTAAAAAGATTATTTACGACAATATTCGTCGATATATCCCATTTGTTCGTATGAATATTTGTTATTTTAACTGAGCATGATTTTTGTCAAATTTTTTTTCTTCTTCTCCTTTCGATAAACGAGTCTAATGATGAGTAACAAAAGCCATCTGATTGTAAAAACTCCATTGTCAAAAGGACAAAAAACGGAAAAAATTCGATATATTGAACGTTTGTGAGCATTGAATTATGTTGTATAAATAAAAAATATCGCCTTTAAGCAATGTCGATACATTTGAACGGAAGATTTATGAGAGAATGTCGTGTTGTGCTATTGTCAAGAATGTATTTTTCACTTTGTTTGCACTTCGAATCACACGAAATGGAATTATATTGTCAAACAAGATGTATTAAGATATTTTCAACAAATAAGAAGCATTTTCAACACAAAAACAGGCATTCTGCCAAAGGCGCATATTGCGCTGTTCATTTCTTAAGATAACGAGATGTTGCTAAGCTACTGCTGAACATTTAAAGGATTTTCGGAATGATGTTTTATGCAAATTAACTCTGTAATTATCTAATGAAATTAAGCAACGACTTAGACTTGCTTGAAATTTAATCCTTCAATATTATGGATTTTTCACTTCCTAAAGCCAAAATCCTCTTGAAATATCCAGAATTTCAAGCAAAACACTTGAAAAATGCACGAAAACACTGTGCATTTTTATTCGATCGATAAATATGTGTTCAAAGTATCAGCAAGAAAATATGCAATTGTAAATAATAGCACAAAAAAATCATTGTTCAAATGAAGCATTATCGTTATGTATCATTGATTCGAATGCATGAATTGCAATTGGACGCACACTGAGTACATGATTCTATTGTTTCGATCATATTTCCCCTTTTTATAATCGAAAGAACAGTCGTCGCGCTTATGTACAATCGAGCAATAAGTCCCGCCCATCCTGTGCACACACATAATCGATACACTTCCTTTCGGTCGTAACACGCGCCAATGATACATAGCGAGCATAAATAGTGTAGTATAGCGACTAAACATATGATGTTGTTAGACAATGTTTTTGTCGCTTTCTCTCGAGCACATCCGAAAATTGATACAAGTCGTCAGTTATTTTCGATACAAATTCATTTATTGCTGGGAATAATAAAATGACGGCGCTTGACACAAACGAATATGTTACAATGTAGAGAGAGAGAGCGAGTGTTCATGCAAGTTGGAATGGGAAAAGGCAGTAGTTTTTTAGATTATTGTTATTATTGAAACGTTGTTTGACATGTAATATTTACCCGTTGTTTATGTGTATTTATGGTGCGTTTAAATAAAGAAAATACAAAAGCGGGCCCTTGAAAGTGATATGATTTACAGTCGCGATAGTATACATATTTCGAACATTTTATGGCATCAACGGATGCAAAACAAAGCCAAATCGCATGAAATTTTACTCGACAACGGACAGACACCCTTCTTCATTTGGCAAATAATACATAATACTTACGTTGGTTGATATTGCATTATTTTCAACAGATGAAACATGCATCGCCATAGCAACTTCAAATGAAACAGAATTCAATTATGTTTCAAGAAGAACGAGGAGAAGACCCGGTTGCCTCTGAAACTTCAATAGAATTTATGTTTTCACCGAGTTGATATATATTTGGACGTGTGCAACTCATGAAAAGGGGAGAATCCAACTATGTAAAAATAAAATGGAAGCTGATACAAAATTACTGGATATTCATGCTTGTTTTTGTATCATATAAAATGCAAATGATTCTTCGTCAGTAAAAGTATATATATATATTTAGTGCAGGGATTAAATATTCACATCGGTAGCACTTAGAATTATGAACACAATTTCATTATAGCGCAGAATTACTTTGGAACAAATAAGTAGACAATTTTGTTTCAAACGATTTATTCTTCAAAACAAACTTACGAACTAATGTAGTTCTTTGCTTTGTAAAATAGAGGATTTGAATAGAAGTGCTCTCTATTACTATGTTTTTCATTAAAAATTGCAACTTTTCTTTCAAGCACGCGACAACTTTGATTAAAATAAATAATAATTTGTTCACAAAATAGAAATATTACATGTTTTTCAGATAAATCGAACGATTCTACGATAAAAACTCAAAAATGGTCAAATATGAGCTCGAAAATGAAGTGAAAGCTGAATTGTATTTTAACATTCAATATTATTTGGATTCGAAACGTTTTATTTACCTTTATTACGTATTTTTTTATTATTTTTGCATTAATTGACTCATTATGAGTCATAAGCGGCGCTTTTAAGAGTAAATTACACTCTTTTTAAATAATTGTGCCATTTTTGTTCATACACAAATGGGTATAGTATATGTTTTTTTGGAGGTTTGTGTAATTGTGGAACCGTAAATGCTTACTCATGCTTTATTGAATCAGTAGAGCTGTGCTCCAATCAAAACGATCATTTAATTTTTAAATTCCAACAATTTGTTCCATCAAATGAGTGAATGTTTCGCATGGAATTATCCATCTAACACCTTAATCTGTGAATGACAAATAATACTTACCTCTTTCACATAGCTCTGAGTAAGTTCAATGAATCATCGATGATGTCATTTAAATATGCATAAAAATAGCGATGGCTGATCAATAAATTTCATTCATGGAAATGGTTAATACATTTTATACGCTCCACTGTTGAATATATTAAACCGAAATAAAATATCGATTTGAATTGACTCATTTTCACTTTATTAAAATGTTTTGCTTACACAATGTCTCTTGGTTTAAATAATTTGTTTATTTGGAATTATAGGCTGGATTCTCATGTCATGTTTATCTCTATATCATTTAAGAGTGGGTTTTTTTCTTTCTTTTTCTCTTTAAAGAACACAATGAACCACCATTTCTACATCTATATCATTATTGTGATGTGTGAAAAGCTACTGTTTGATAATTATGTATATTGCATAAATTTTCATTACTTCTAAAAATGTGTGAGTTTAATTACTGCCAATCGACTTTCAAAGAGATTTATTAAAAATATTTCAATTTTAAGCAAAAAATGAAAACCGTATTTATACAGCACGGAAGCAATTTTGTTTGTAAACTTATGGTTTGATTAGTGTGCAGATATGGGATTATAAATATATTTTGAATCCAATTTTCTTTAGCAAAAAATCCGTAAAAACTGGACTGAAATTCTTATCTTGTGCAAACAATGTGTCATTTTTTATAAAGGCACACTTTATTCATTGTATATTTCTTTTTCAATTTCATAGAAAATGGTCGGTCGTGCGAAAATATATGGTTAGTATATGATACGCTATTTTCAATCTTTTCTACCGCTAGCTGAACGCGTAAACGTTCTATATATATGTGTGATAAGTATGAAAAAATGTATCAAAATGTGATATGATTGCTATTTTTATGTCTTGACCGGGAAGTTGAAAGAGTTTCAGTTAAGAGGAGCTGCTCAAATTCACGGCCTAAATAGCATTTCTCTTAGAACCCAAAACCCTGTCCTGAATATCAATGCATTTTAAATAGAAGGACAGTTCTATCTTTAGTACTTCGTCGCAGTACAAGTTCTAAGGAAGTGCGCCTATTGGCAACTTTTTTTGTGAATTTTTCCCAAAACTTAACCGAAATTCATTCTTTTATATATCAGTCAATGTGTCTCTTGTCAAGGCAGCAAATGAAGTCATACAAAAACTTCTTAAAAAAACAATGGGGTTCACGTGCATTCTACCGTGTTATACAACCATATTAAATATCAAATGGAATATTAAGCAGACTTGTTAGGGTAAACAAAATTTCACAAATTTTGCACTGAATTCAAAACAAAAATTTCGGAAACAATTGTCTTTTCTCAAATTTTGTGTTTGTCTTTTGACAATTTTTTATTACTTTAGTAATTTTTGTCAGCACAGTATAAAAAAAAGGTTGAAGGCAAAGAGGGGAGACAAAGTGGTAGAACATTCTTAAAAATTAGTTATCACCAGTCATAAAATTATTACATTATAAAAAATATCGAACCAAAACTACAGAGATAAAAATTATTATGTGTGTTTCTTTTTAAATGTTTTAACTTTGTCTTAAGCTAAAACTCGATTAATGGATTAAAATGTCTAATGTTTCAGTTCTTATCAGTTACTATGTTATCATTTTATATTTATATTTTCATCAACATTTTTTTTCACTCGTTTGTTTAACGCATGTAAACCTGCCTTTAAACGATTACAAAATTAGTCCTATGAATTAGACGTTCAAGTTTAGTTTCTATTGCAAATCAAAATTATTATAAATTAGATGCTCAGCGACTTTGCGTACAAAATAAACAAAATCACCAAGCAAAAGGTACGAAGGCCTTGCGTTCTTTTTTGTTTTTTTCTCTCAATTGAGAGCTATTTCACAGAAAAAGTTTCCTTATTGGGTAGTTTTGTCATATTTTTTTTAATTGATTTCGATTCTTCAAATATACTGAATTGGTTTCACTTTGACGGGATGCATATAAAAACACAAAAAAAAATAAGTTTGAGTTGAGCATGAATTTTCAAAGTTGTCTTACAGAGCTAAAGATTAAATATATTGAATTGATCAAACTCGATCGGAACATCGGTTAATTAATGTGTTAATTTGTTTTGATTTTGGAGACTCGTTATAATTGTTTTTTTTTATCGCATTATTCGTGTGTTTAGCACACAATCAAATGACTAAATACATAATAAATACTTTTAATGCAAACGAAAAAAAGAGGTTAAACAAAAAAATAATAATAAACAAAAATAAGAATTAATTGATTCAGAACGATACTGTGTCTCGGCTACGGTGTGGCGTTCACACTCTTCTAAATATCAACAATTAGATTTTGCAACTGTGTTAGATTTGAGCCCATATGTCGATTATCAGGCAATGCTTTTATTTTACATAACCAGTGCGCAGATTCCATGCATTTCTTTTGGCGTTCTTCACGCGGTATATCCACACCGCCGAACGACCGTCCCCATGGGCCGGTATTTGATTGGATTATTGGCAAGAAATTCGATAATATTATTCGTAACGTGTCACATGCTCGTGTATAGTGGCTGCGAAAAATTAAATGAATGAATATTGTTAATGGACTTGATACAACAACAAATATACTAAATCAGCTACAACGGAAGATTGATTATGAAAGTAACAGCAGTTTCAACATTCATTCAGAATCTGAGTTTCAAATTGAGTGAATGAAATATATATATAGTAGTGATAACTACGCTGTGAACAAACAAAATTACGTTCTATTCGACTGAAAATAAAATCATTGATTATGATTGAAAAGAAAAAACTTACAATTTATGTTCACTTTGAAGCAATTCATAAATTTCCGGCAATAGTAATGCACACATATCCAAATTCCAAGATGCACTATGAATGAAATGAAGAGAATTAAATTCGTTTGCAATGCAACAAGACGACATGTGATCAACTTGAAATAATCATTAAAAAGTGAAACAATGCCATTTAAAACTTACGGTTTTTCAATTATCGCACCGAGTAAATCGACCATGACCGAATGATCCTGCATTTTCGCCACATGCCTTAGGGCACCTCCAATATCTTGAGATCTGTAATAAACAATAGACAACAATTTCGAATAATAACGTCAGTTATTAAATTCATTTGACAAGTTCGTTGCACCCACTAATGGCTCTATTGTTTCGTTTAATTAAAAAATCTCTTTCATGCAAGTAATATAAAACAATAATCGACTGTAATAAACGTATACCTCGTTGAATTGCGAACTAGTTGCAGTGTTGCATATCGGGTGCTAAGCTGTTGTATGACCCGTTCATGATATGCAGTTAAAACGCTAATTTCGGCATTTTCTTCTGCCGAACCGTGTCCATTGTAGTTCGATGAATTGCCGTACGGTTTTGGTTGTTGTGCCGGCATACTTGGTAGCGTCGAATTCAAGTGATTTGATGAGGCCATCGGAAGCGATGTGTGTGAAATAGACGGATTTGATTTCAAATCGAATGATGTCTTCGATCTGGCCGGTGGTGGTGGTTTGGCCAATATTTGAACCGTAATCTTTCGATTGTTGCGGGCATGATTGGTTTCTTTGGGCGGTTCTGATCGTTTCACCTTGTGATTGTTATTATTATTAAATGCTGAGTAATTTCGTGTCGGCGAACCATTCCGTGACGGTATACCTGTACTCTTTTTACCAGCACTAAATGTCGAACTATTATCATCGAGTGCATGCAAATCAATGTTACTCGATGAGAATTTCTTCAAAGTGGCTAACGATGATCGAGAGGCAGATTGTTGTGATAGGGTTTTACGTTGTGGCAACGATGCTTTTGACTTGTTCACTACTTTTGGTGCATTATATACACTTAATCCGTGATGCATTGAATCCATTTTTGGTGCATAATCTGGCTGCTGTGCATTATTCACGGGAAAATCTTCACGTTCCGGTTCGACATTTTGTTCGGGATAATAGTCAAGGTCGTTCGATGAATTATCAAAATATGATCCATTGTCGGGCGGCATTTGTGTTTGATAATCGTCCGAATAACCATTGTAATTATCACCCGGAAGACTGAACAACGAATTTTCACGTGTTCGAGCTAGATTTTCAAAGGCATATTCATTTTTGGCAGACGATTGTTGTAATGGTATTTCATCGATACTCTCTTCAATCATCTCAAAACTGAGACTCGATGGCGATGACACCTCTTTGCCACTTGTCAACGATCCACTACGAAAATCATTATTATTATTGCCACTTGACTTTAATACCAATTTTGTTTTTGGCGCTCCACGATTAAAACTCTTTCGCGTACTTTGATTATGCTTAAACGGAATATTTGTGGGATTATAGTATGGAATCACATGATCCAAATTGATTGCATGCACCAAAACTGATTGTTTTTCATATGAGCCACATATCTGCGAAAATTTGATTAAATATGAATTAGGTTTTACACTTGTGTGCACAGAATTTGTGTTTGATTTACTTACCAATTTCTTTTTAACAACCTTCATGTCGCCCAACATACTCCAAGCTGATTCAATATGATCAAATTCTCTATCCGGTTCCCATCCAACGACAGAAACTCCATCCGCACTTCCAACAAAACAACATTCACCATTTTCACTGTGAAGAAATCGAATATCATTAGCTTTGATAATTTTTTTTCATGATTTTTTTGCGAGTGAAAAATTTGCGTAATACTAACCCAAAGGTGATACATTTCACAGTATGGCCATTGCCATCGGCTCGTGATATTATGCTTTTTGTTTCTAAATCATATAAATCGACTGTACCATCATTTCGACCAGCCGCCAAAATGAAGTCGGACGGATGAAATGTAATACAAGTGACCGGTGACGCGGTCTCTTGAAATTCCATTACTTTATTTGTCGTTCGTATGTCCCAAATAATGATGGAACCTGTGAACGAAAGAGAGATTTTGATTGATATTTGTTGGTAAAAGGCTGGTTGGGGGTTTTTGTACCTTCGGTGCCAGCTGAAGCAATCCACCATCCATCGGGTGAAAATTTGACCGAATTAACATTGGCAATATGACCACGATATTTGCTAAAGCAACTATCACTCTTTCGAACATCCCATAATCGTACGGTTGTATCATTGCTGCCACTGGCAAAAATATAGTTGCCATGTGGATGAAAATCAAGTGTTCGCACACTTTTCATGTGCCCATAGAATGTAACACATCCCGGTTGTGTGTTAAGATCCCATCTTTTGATGATGCCATTTTCGTCGGCTGAGTACACTAAATCGTCGCCAGATGTAAATTTAACGCAGTCCACTTGGCCATTGTGGCCGGACAACGACATAAAACACTTTTCATTTCCAAATGCCCATAAATTAACAGCACGATCTTGACCACCTGTAACTAGTACTCGACCCGTTTCGCCAATATCCAACGATGTCACCTTCTGTGAGTGGGCTTGAATTTCATCTAAACGACAACAATAAAATTAAAATAAAATATCAACAAAAAAACCATCACATAACACGCTGACCACAAACAAATCAACATTCGTTCATTTGTACGTGCATGATTCTAGCTCATTTCCATAAGGCATTGAAACAAATCTAATTATGGATGGCAGAGTGTGTGCAGTGTTATTTTCTTTATGGTGTGCGCAAGAAAAATATATAGCACTCGTCTAAATGTTATCAATCAGAGAGAAAACCAATTATAACAGTGACTTATGTCGTGTGAAAATATGCGGCCGCATTACATTCACACCATTTCCACAATTATGCTGACAGGAGAGTAAGTGAAAGAAAAAAATTAAAAGAGAATACACGCATTTCTTGTGTTAAATATTCGATGTGTAATCGTAAACACACAATTCATTTTACGTGTGCACAAAATTGGTATTGAATCGACGCGAAGATTGAATATGTTAACCTTGTGTGTGGGCAATAAATCGAATAATGTCTTTATATATGTTTTTTTTTTCGTTCACGAATATTATGTGTTATGTATTAGGCTGTCGTCTGTGTGTGTTTGTCTCTGTTTTACGCATTACATTATGCATTTGGTTTTTTCACATAAATTGAGTGTGCGAATATTCGACGGTTTTTCCACACAACAAATTCACTGCACAATCCACCGATTTTCACTTGTCTTTTATCATTACTTACATATTTTTGCAGTTAACTTTCGTGTTAAGGCCATTCCACTTAATCAAATACACTTATTCTAGACAAAAAATAAATTTATTTTACAAATGAATTGTCAAAAACATCTGACATTTTTCTATTTATACAGTAAACTAACTAATAAGCACACTGGAACAGAGCAACGAATAGCAGTACAAAAAGAATAACACTCACGATGAGTTTTTTCTCTTTTCTCACTACCTTTGACTATAGCAACCGATCGGTTCGTTCAATGCCACAACAAAATCGGTTTCAAATTATGGCGCTGGCAGCGGTCAATATTTCACTTACTTTACTGAAAATTTTCAAATTTTTTGCCAGCAAAAATTGATGCAACAAATTTTTTATTTTGATTAAACTTTAAATAAGAATTTTTCATTCATGAACTTCGTCAATATTCGTCAGTTGAATCGTTGCAAGCGACTGCTTTGAAAGCGATTCAATGGCAACACCAAACTAAACGACACATACACGACCTGTCAAATATAAACAATTGTACAACATACATATAGCATTCACAGAAAGAATTGTTGTCATCTCATCGTCGTCCGTCACGATAAAAACAAAAGTATTTCAAATATTTTCATTTCGATAATAAATCAATTAATTAATCATGTCGGCAAGATACGATCGTGCAGTTACAATCTTTTCACCGGACGGACATTTATTGCAAGTAGAATATGCTCAAGAAGCTGTTCGCAAAGGATCCACTGCCGTAAGTATTCCGATTTGTATGTGTACCTTAACCTCCAAAGTCAGTTGTCGCAGCAAAAAAAATGCATGTCATGTAAAACTTTCGACCGGTTTTCATGCTTGTTTATTTGATTTTTTTTCAAAAGTTCATGAGTTTTCATTAAAAAATCAAAAATTGCTTCCACAAATCCATTTTATCGTGGAATCAATATGATTTTCTGTTTATTTGCTGTGTCATAGGTCGGGGTACGCGGAGCCAATGTAGTTGTGTTGGGCGTTGAAAAGAAATCGGTGGCAAAACTTCAAGAAGAACGAACCGTTCGTAAAATTTGCTTATTGGACAGTCATGTGGTGATGGCATTTGCTGGTCTAACCGCTGATGCTCGTATTTTAATCAATCGAGCTCAAGTTGAATGCCAAAGTCACAAACTCAGTGTCGAAGACCCGGTCACATTGGAATATATCACAAGGTATGCATTTTCAATTTTAAAAAAATCGAAGCGCCAATTTGATCTTTGTTTTCTCTAATTTTATAACATTTTCGGTCACATTTCAGATATATCGCCGGCTTGAAACAAAAGTACACTCAAAGCAATGGACGTCGTCCATTCGGTATTTCATGTTTAATTGGCGGTTTTGATTATGATGGTAAGCCACATCTATACCAAACCGAACCGTCTGGTATTTACTACGAATGGAAAGGAAATGCAACGGGCCGTTCGGCGAAAACAGTACGTGAATTCCTTGAAAAATACTACAATGACGACGAAGTCGCAACCGAAGATGGTGCTGTGAAATTGGCAATCAAAGCATTGCTTGAGGTGGCACAGTCCGGCCAAAAGAATTTGGAAATTGCGGTCATGGAACGTAATAAACCATTGAAAATGCTGGATGTCGATACAATCGAAAAGTATGTGAACATCATTGAAAAGGAGAAAGAAGAGGAAGCCGAAAAGAAGAAGCAAAAGAAGTGAATCTAAGATTAAACATAAAAAAAAACATTTTCATGTTGATGACACTTTCGTCTTTATTTTGTTTATTGGGTCGATTGAATGCAACATTTATACTAATAAAAATTCAAAAAAAAAATGAAGCAAAAACACACACAAAAAAAATAAAGCAAGCCTTTTTCTATGCACAAATACATTTTCATTGCCTGAGGTACGGATTTAGTTTGACCGTTTCACCACCAGATGTAGCTTCCCATTGTCTGTGTAACATCATGCAGAATAGACAGAATGAAAACGTCTGTGTTCCGCACAAGATATCAACAAACTCAATTGTCATTCGTGTGGGGGCAAGTGTGAGCCGATTATCTCTGCTGCTACTGCTGTTCAGAGATAGATTTGTTGTTTATTTTTTATTATGCACTGACATTTGGTGCAATCGCTTTTGGTGTTCTTAAGCAATTAAAAACAAAAAAAAAACAATAATTTGGTATTTCTATCAAATAGAATAAAATTAGTTTTTTTAAATTTGACGATATCCAGTGGAAAAATGGATAAAGAACGGTAGGAACCACTTAAAAATTGTGCATAAATACCTGTTGAACGTAAAAAAATATGCGTAATATAATTTAAAAAACCGAATATATGATTCAATGAGTAAATGTGGTGGTAGTGGAGACCGGTTTTACTATTTCTTTGTGTTATTTTTATTCATAGATTTTCATTGCTATTGCTCGAGCCGAATGAGATTTATTTTGAAGATTTCTTTGTGAATTTGATCATTGAGAATCCATCCGATAACAGTATCGTTCAAGATGAACAACTTTTCACTGGCCACCTAAAAATGTGCTCCAAATCAATTGTATTTGATCCAAAAGACTTGGAACTGCCATTGATTCGAATAACATACAAAAATTGCAGTCGCATCTTCATCTGGCCGGGCAGGATGAATGACAAAGAATCAAACGTACTTGCGATTTCATGTGATCAATACACAGAAATGTTGTCGAAGAATATCGTCGCTCCGTACACATTCAAAATGGAAACACGAACATTCTTGTTCAATTTTCACTATGCCAAAGTCTATGAGTATTTGGATCAATTGAGACAGTTGCATCGAGCATCAAAACTACATGCATGTGAACAGAACGATATGGTAAGAGATTTTATTGATGGCAGAAGAGACATGATAAGTACAATAATGGTTTATTTATCATTGCGCCGTTAGATTGCAACGATTGTTTATTCGCGTCATAAACGAGTTAAATTTAATCCACTTTGGCTTGAAGACATCTACGAAACGGTCCTGGTTGACCATACGGTAGACGAAATTCATCCACTCATCACAAATCCCGGTCGATTGCTCTTGTCTGATAAACGAATCTACTTTCAGCCGTACAACAATATCCAACCGGTAATGTTCTCAATTCAATTTTCAACTCTTCAATTATCAATAAATCAAATTCGTTCTTTGTTTGCAGTATCCCGTTATCAAAATTAATTTGGAGAATATAAACGGTTTAACTCAACGACGTTTCGTTCTACAGCAAATTGTAATTATTATTTATTCTTTTGTTTTCTCATGTGCAAAAGGTGAATGTTTAAATTTGTGTCTTTCGAAGGGCCTTGAAATAAAATGGACAGAGAATGATTTGGAACGCATGTTGTACCTGTCATTTCGCAATAAAAGTGAACGCGATGAATTTTATGAGCAAACAATATCACAAAGCTGTGTTAAAATTACATACACCGAACCCGAGAGCATGACATTGAAGTGGCAAAATGGTATCATATCCAATTACGATTATTTACTGTATTTAAATAGGTGAGTCAGATAAAAATTAAAAACAAACAAAAACGATTCATTGAATTCGTTGATATGTTTTGAATGGAAATTAAACAAATATGTTTTTTTTTTGAAATACCAGCTTAGCAGATCGTACAACACATGACTTGACTCAGGTTCGTTACCGCAATGCTATTTTTCCGTTGTCTTAACTGATTTTTACATTAATTTTTTTTGTCTACTTAATTTTCACAGTATCCGGTTTTTCCATGGGTCATTTGTGATTACACTTCGCAGACGATAGACTTAAATGATGAAAATTGCTATCGAGATTTGACCAAGCCGATCGGTGCTTTGAATGAACAACGACTGAAACAACTGCAAGAGCGATATGAAGAAATGGACGAACCGAAGTATGTGATTGTGCAATCACAATTAATTCTTAATAATTTACTCCTATTTGTGCGATTATAGGTTTTTATATGGATCTCATTATTCCGCTCCGGCTCTTGTACTATTCTATTTGGTATGTAAAATCATTTAGTTCAAATCGTGCACAAACAAAATAATCGTTTTTTTTTATTTAGGGTCGAAAGCATCCAAAATTGATTCTTTGCTTGCAAAATGGTTACTTCGACCACCCGGATCGTATGTTTAATAAGTTGTCGGATACATTTCGAAATTGTTTGAATAATATGGCTGATTTTAAGGTGAGCAATCAAAAAGACGGCACTTCAAATCAAGTTGAACCAAATTTAATTTTTATTTTACAGGAATTGATTCCCGAATTCTATGATACGAAAAAGAAAGGTGACTTCCTGTTGAATAGTATGAAGATTAATTTTGGCAAACGAGCTGATGGAACGCCGGTCAATGATGTTGCACTGCCACCTTGGGCCGACAATTCACCAGATAAATTCATTTCGATACTTAGAGAGGCTCTCGAATCCGAACACGTGTCGAAAAATTTACACCATTGGATTGACTTGATATTTGGCTATAAACAACGCGGTGACGAAGCAATTAAAGCAAATAATCTATTTTATCACTTATGTTATGAAGGTGCTGTTGATCTCGATGATATCAATGATTTAACAAAGAGACATGCACTTGAAGTGCAAATAAGTGAATTTGGTCAGATTCCAAAGCAATTATTCGAAAAACCGCATGTGCCTCGATTATGTACGAATAAAATGAGACGAATGAGCAGTGTGGATAGAGAAAGTGTGCCAGACGTTGTCGACTCAAATGAAGACCTCTTTGTCAATTCATTCAAAGCAATAAATTTCTTGGACAATTATCAAACTCACAAAGACCTGATTAGTTCGGTGCTTGTTGATGGCAATATTGTTGTTACAACCGGCAAAGATGGACTGTTAAAATGTTACAATATTAAGGAGAAGCGCCAAATTAGGTTATTGTTTTGCAAAAAGCTTTTATTTTTTTACAGTCAATATGTTTAACTTATTAAGTTTATTGATTTTCCAGGAGTGTTTCAATCTCGAATATGCCATTGAGTGCATGCATCAAAATTCCCAAGCAAAACTCTTTCATTTTGGGCAGTTGGGATAATTCAATGTAAGTTTTTCTTCAAATAAAAGCCCGAGGGTCACACCAGTACTGGTGATATGCAATAATCTTTTCACTTAATTCCAGTGTGATTTACGATTGTGACTATGGCCGAAAAATAAACGAAATTCCAGCACACGACGATGCGGTTTCATGTCTATCTTATTTAGACTGTATTGGTGTTCTTGTATCTGGCAGTTGGGATTGTACGGTCAAGTAAGTCTATATTCCTGAATTTTGGGCAGGCGCAAAAAAGCATTCAACCAATTCATGTGAATATTTTTCAGAGTATGGAAGGGTTTCGATAGAAAACCGTACAGTTTATCCGATTCGCTCATTGCTTACTATTCGTTCGAAGAGAAAATAATTGCCGTTGATATATTTAAAACGGACGATATCATAAAAGTGGTGGTCGGATTAGAGAATGGTGATGTGATATTATGGAGACTGAAAACTTCCGGTCGATTGAGTTCTGGTTCGGTCGATACAATTGATACCAAATTACTATTTACACATGCCGATGAGGTGGCTAGTGTTTCGTTCAATAAAAATGGTACAAAAGTTGCGTCATGCGGTCTCGATTGTGTTTTGTACGTATGTGATATTGATACTGGGATGACTTTATTTAAAAAAGAGCACTCAAATTGTTTGATTTGCTTGAGTTGGTGTCATGAGAATGGAATTTTGTATCTGGGCGATAACAGTGGATACATTTATGTTTGGAATATGATGACTGGTGAGAAAAATTGCTCTGAAGCAGGCTTCAATGGACCCATAACCAGCATTACATCAAGCCTCAATTCAGACCACCAATGCAGAATCATCGCCGCTGGAGTGGACGGAAATGAGTTTTTAATCAAAGCTTGGATTAATGAATGAACAAAATTATCAATGATTCTCGTCAACATTTATCTATTTTTTGTATCAATTTTATAATTGAACCGTGTTTCACTTTGAGAGTCTTCAAATAATATATGTATAAAATTTGTATTTTACTACTAAAATTAATTGTTAATTATTAAAAACTAACAAAAAAATCGAAATCAAATTCTTTTGTTTTAATCGAAAGATATGGAAAGATGTAAGTTTAATAATGATTTAATAACATATGGCACAGTATTCTGAAAAATGCTAAAATTCAAACCATTTTAAAATAATACATTTTCACTTGCATTTTTCCCTTACTTCACCGTAAATGGCCAGAAACAATTATCGGCAAACAAAAAAAAAAAAAAACAGAAAAAAAATCTCGATTTTAAATAATAGGCGTATGTGTATGTGTGCGTCTCTGCATTGCATGTATTTGCGACACCATTGACAGTTCGTTGACGTTTGCTTAGTCAATTTTAGTTATGTTTTCTTCCGTACAACACTTGTCCGTGTCATCATTTTCCAAGCGAATAAAATAATCAAAAGAAAGTATTTCTGGTCACAATGAGTGTATACGATGATATAAAATTGTAAGTGTTTTTGGTCGAAATTTAAAATAAATTGTTTCTAGATGAAACAAAAATGACATTCTTTAAATGACCGTCAATCGTATACGTGATCAAATGAACATAAATGAATGTGTTGTCATCATCCTACTTTTGACACTCTGCCAATTTTTCATTCTCGATTTGGTTTAGTCTTTTTATTGAACATATTTTTTGGTGTTTTAATCCTTGCAGATATAGTTTACATGACAAATTCATAGTTCAGCCGAAGGATAGTGTCGAAGAGTTGATAATCAATCGAATAAATGGCACTGTCACGGTCCAAGGTATGGCAATGGAAAATATTCAATTATGTTTACCCGCAGCTTTATTTTTACCCACATACTAACTGAACAAATCCACATTCATAGGCATCACCAATCAATTCTACGACAGTCGTACATTGCGACACGTATGCGGTATTTTGGGAACGATTAAATTAATCAGTGGCAAATATTTGGTTGTGGCAACACATCGTGACTTTGTCGGTGTGGTCAACGGTCACGTTATTTGGCGTTTGGCTGGACATGATTTGATACCATATATTCCATCATCGATTCACTTGTCAGAGACTCAGGTTCGTTACCGCAATACCATTTTCCCGCTATGTTTACTGATTTTCACATTAAATTTCTTTGCAGAAAGTCCAAAATGAGACGTATCTTTCGATGATCAATCAAACACTCAACACACCATTTTTCTACTTTTCATACGCCTATGATCTGACACACACTTTGCAGCGATTGAGTGCATTGGATTCGAACTTTTATGAGGTAAATCCGTGAAAAACCATGTATTTGTGACTTGATAAACCGGTTCTTGTTGGTGTTTTAGTCGGGAATGGCACAACGAGCTGATAGCCGATTTATGTGGAATGGTTTTTTGCTGAAAGATTTTCTCACAACATCACTTCGACGCTTTTGTTTGCCGATTGTTCATGGATGTATGTGTCTCACTGTGAGATTCTCACATGATTTGATGTTTTTTTATTTAATATCAATTTTTTGCTCGTTTTCTGCATTTACAGTCATTTCGATTAATCAAGTGAACGTAAACAACAGCACATTTACATGGGCTTTGATTTCAAGACGTTCGGTTTACAGAGCTGGTACACGCTTTTTCCGTCGTGGAATCGACAAAAATGTAAGCATCTACAGAAACCCTTTGGATACCCAATGGTCGAATGTAAAATAAAATTCTCTTCATTGACAGGGAGACTGTGCAAACTTTGTTGAAACCGAGCAAATCGTTACTTATTTGAATGATAAGGTTTCATTTGTACAAATCCGTGGCAGTATTCCGTTGTATTGGTCTCAAAGTCCGAATATCCGCTACAAGCCAGCTTTGACAATCGATTTGTCGAAGGAGCATTTATCGGCTGCTCTTAAACATGCTGAAAAAGTGCTAAAAACATACGGACGACATGTTTATGTTAACTTGGTGAGTATTGCTGCTGAAAAATCTTTATCGAAGTCAAAACTAGTCTGAAATTTCATTTGCATTTAAACAGATCGATCATCGCGGCAAAGAAGAATTACTGGAGAAAGGATTTGCGAATCTAATAAGTCAATTGGGTTTGCCAAACATTCGCTATGAATCATTCGATTTTCATGCTGAATGCCGTAAAATGCAATGGCATCGTTTGAACATACTAATCGATCGATTGGCTCATGAACAAGACGAGATGGGCGTATTCCAAGTCAAAACCGATGGCACAGTCATTTCAACACAATCCGGAGTTTTTCGAACCAATTGCATTGATTGCTTGGATCGTACAAATGTAGTGCAGAGCATGCTGGCTAGACGTTCATTGCAGCAAGTTTTAGAGAAATTGAACATTCTTTCAATTGGACAAACCATTCAGTCGGTTACCGCATTCGATTCACTGTTTAAGAACGTTTGGGCTGATAATGCCGATTTAATTTCGCTGCAATATTCCGGAACCGGAGCTCTGAAGACCGATTTTACAAGGACTGGCAAACGTACTATTCAAGGGGCGATGCAAGACGGTGTCAATTCTTTGACGAGATACATTAAAAACAATTTCAGTGATGGATTCCGACAGGTACAAATATACTCACTGGAAAGCGGAAGACCTTTTCTATTAAGCATGAATAGCATGGACTAATGAAATTCTTTTACCAATTTGCAGGATGCAATAAATCTTTTCCTTGGTAACTACGTCATTCAAGAAGGTGAAGGAAAACTCGTTCCGTGTCCATTGGAAGTTCGAAAAGGATGGAAACAAGCTACGGTAACTGCATAGTTACGAGTGTTAAGGCTCCGGATGAACTTTGCATTACTTTACATTGAATTTTAAGTCTATGGTTCATCCGAAGCCTTCCTAAGCTATCTTTAAATGTTCAGTTTGTTGGATTTTAAATCGAATAAATAATTTTTCATTTTTCAGTTCCCATCTGTATTGGTATTTGCCGTTGCAATGTTTTGTGCATCGGTTATTTTACCACAAGAGTACAACACGGAAAACTTATTGTTTATGCTATTTTGGAGCAGTATGATTGGAGTAACTTTGAAGGGGATATTCCGTTTTGGATCTGAATTTGTTGATTTTCCGAAACTCTTGCCATGCATCGACCAAAACAACGTAAACAAAATCTTATAATTTCCAACGTACGTGCATAATCAGTATGAAGTAGAGTGAAAATTCACATATAAATATATTATACACGCATATTCCTTTTTGATACAATCGGGACAATTCCATTTCGAGAACTATAAATTCGTTAATTAAACTTCATATTCGTTTTTTTGATAAAATTGCTAAGGCCATTTCATCATATTTTTATTGCTTGTCATTGTAAGCTAGCTTTCAAATGTAAATATTCTAATAATGGAACATTAAAAAACATTTTTTTCCGATAAAATAAAAATTAGACTGGTATAAATCCGGACCATTTGTTTGTTTTTATTCAAACCTTTTTTCAAATGACATTTTTATGCCTCTTTTGACTTTTATATTTCACCAGCAACCATTCAATGCAAATAATATATTGGACGGTTATCGTTTGAAAATATCAAAAATACATAGACCATTGTATTACACAGAGAGACATATTTGAGTACGGTAGCTTGCGGAGTTAGCAGAGCGTCTACCCTTCAAAATGAGTTACGCCCTCTATTTTAGTCTATTTTTGGTGTTAATTTCATCCAATTGAACGCATCATAGTGAAAGAAGAAATACATATATGTACGTTGAACGCATGCGGCTATGACTACACATGTATCCAACGGTCATTTTATATTTTTCACATCGGTTTTTCGAGAAAAAGAAATCAAATTCAAAAGTATTTAATATGAATTTCTTAAAAACTCTATTTATCTAAAAAAAATAACTGCCCTCTTCCATACAAATCACTTTCGACTCATGCGTTCCAGACGACTACGAATTATCGACGAGTATGTGCATAATCTGTACAAAGCAGATTAAAAATGAAAAAGAGAATCACCTCTTTTTAGCAATTTGCATATAAATATTGTACAGTGTACACGCATATTCCTTTTTGATACAATCGAATCAATTCATAACATTTCGACAGCAATATATACGTCGAATAAATTCCATGTTCATTGTTTATTTTTTTAGTGTGATTGGTAAAAATCAAAGCCATTTCAATTTGGTTTTTTTTTTCATATTTTTATTGTAAGCTAGTTTTCCAATGTAAATAATTCTAATAAAAATAAAATAAAAATTGGATTGGTATAAATTTAAAGTATTTTGTTTACAACGGTGCTGTGATTCCTCTTAGCTTATAACCGTTTCCACCGGAAATGAATTTGAGTTCTTTTTCCATGCCTGGTGTGTAGTTTTGAATCCACTTTCGATCTAAATAATAGCTAATTACGCTGTCGAATTCTTGATCATTGTACAAATCGACGTGTATCGGTACGAATGGATCAAGAAATTCAAAGCCTTTGCGATGCAACAAGTATTTCGGAAAATCTGATTCCATTCGTTCTTTAGTGAGAGCCCATTTATCAGCAACTAACAAACACACTCCGCCGCTCCAGTCCGATTGTGCTAAGCTCAAAAATGGCTGGGTGATTGTAATATTTTCTGGTGTTGCTTTAACTCTGTTATCAAATTTTATTAGGGTTTTTGGATGGAAAAATGCATTGAATCCGTCAATTGCAACCATGGTTCGGCAATTTCCAGCGGTTGATTGTTGTTTCAATTCTTCCACAAGCACGTTAATGGTGTCTGTTGCGAATCTAATACGACTTATTCCATGTTCGATCAATTCCAAAAGCGTTGCACCAGCTGGCGTTGTCTCATGTTCTGACCATACATACTCTTTTGAACATTTCAAATCCAATTTTTGTAATAAAGCGGCATTTTGAGTTTTAAAATGTAACAACCATTCGGCAGCATCGATGTTAACATCTAGAAAACCGTCCCTTGTTTCCGAATTGGATCTTTCTTTCGGCACTTTATACCAATACGGAACCCACGGTACATGCACAATTATAAAATCATTCACTTGTCCATAGTGAATTAAATGAAGCAATTGCAATGATTTACCACAACCGAGTTCACCGTAGAATACAAAGCGATTGACGGGCCTTTTGTAGTCAGTTTTATTTAAATATCCAATCACTTCGACAGCTGGCTCACGAACCATTAAACACATCTCTGCAAAGGGTTTGATACCTTCGAAGAATTGTTTTGGCATTGATTTTTTGTAGAGAGTGGTTTTTCGCAAAATTGGATCGATTGTATAAAAACGATTGAGGTGAGCTTCAGTGTGATTGGTTGGATTTGATTCCAGCGTACGAAAATTGTCCAATTTCACACTGGCTTCAGCTTGGGATGAAAACAATCGAATATACGATTTTGGTGGCAATAAACGTCGACGCAACCACATTTTCACTGAATTTTCTTTGGAAATTTTATAGAATGCGGTACAAATATAACTCAGATGTTTTCACTGAGACTAAACGCACATAACCTCAAACGATAGTATTTGTAAGAAACGTCAATATACACCACATGACAATCGTGATTCTAATCACGCAACTGACAGACGATTGAGATTTTTTTTTTTCAATTTGTGTGATTTGAATTTTTTTCTTTACATTTCGGTTTTTCAAACAATTTTTTTTAATGTATTTTGGTTCGTTTGAAACATTTTGTGAATTCTAAAATGCTCAATATTTTCATGCTCAACATTTTTCCTGCTGAAAATCGCTTTTGTTATACTGTTATGTAAAGTGATTTTAAAACAAAGAAATTATTTACAAATCTCATTTTTATTATGTCTTTTTTTTGATTTCATCTTATACAATAAATTTGTAAAAAAAAACAGATTGGCTCTCATTGATTGTATTTTTTTGTATGTTTTTCATCATCCGCAAGCTTATCTCGCCTATGATTATTATTTAACGGTAAATGGGCTGTTGTGAATTGCTTCAAAGAGTATTTGATTGAGACAGTTTACCACCATCCAGAGCTGCTGCTGCTGCTTGGCCAGGCTATAGAGGAATTGAAATAAACCGTTTTCAAAATTGGACATTTAGACAGTATCATCAAAAAATGATGATAAAATAAAAAAATACATACCATTCCATCCACTACTGCTTGGCCATGCACTGTTCGACCAGCCACTACTGTAGCTTGGATACTTGCTTGGCCATCCTAAAATTAACACAAAAATTCAATAAAAGAGTTGATAGATTTTGATATTTCAGTCAGATGATGTTAAAGAAAAATACGGCTTGAATCAAACAAAAAACAACATGTTTTAATTACCTGAGCTTGGCCATCCCGAAGACCAGCCTGCGAATAAAAACAAAAGGAAATTTTTTAAAGGTTTTGATTTTACAAAAAAAAAAAAACAAATTTATGTCTAAAAAAACTTTTTTTAATCCTCGTCCTAATGGCAATTAAACATTATCTTAAAAGTGTGTATACCAGAGCTTGGCCACCATCCTGTAAAAAATAAAAATTGAAAACATTCGAAACCATTATGAGACTCCTTCTAAGATTCCTCATACTAATTGGTCGAAAATGTAAGATCTTTAACAGCAAAAACTATCCTGGACTAACTATATATGGAAAACTTCCATTTAAATATACCTGAAGAATAACTCGGTTTTGTCCAACCGTTTGACCAACCAGACGATGGCCACCCGCTGCTAACTGGCGGAACCCATTTAACAACCTTTACTGGTGCCGCTACATAACTACCGCCATAGTTCCATCCTACACACAGTTAATGAATTTAACGTTTTACCAAATTTTGACTCTTGTTAATGAGTATAAAATATAATTTACCCGATGATGGCCAGCCGCTGTTCCAGCCTGAGCTAATCACTCCAGCGGATGCATATGCAATCACAGCAAACAAGCAAATAAATACCTAATTAAAAACATCGATGTCATCATATTAATATAAGCACACAATGATCTTACTAAATATAAATAAAACTGAGAAAAATATCACAAAAGTTCAAAATCACAAATTAAAACTATTCAATTCAAACAAAGCGGAGTGTAAATAAAAACTTCGGTGAACAGTTATATATTTTTTTTCACTGATATGACTTTATTTTAAAAAAAATAAAATTTCGAAGTAAAATCTAGAGTTTTGTTGCGAATTGAAACTTTTGGAAAATAATTTGTTTGAAAATGAAATGTACCTTCATTTTTTTTTCACGTTAATTCTTGAGCTTCACAAAATCAACTGATGCCTGTCCGCATGTGGTTGCCACTTTTATACGAATTCATGCGGACGCGAATATGTTTACGCAAAGATCCGATATCTGCAAGGTGCTGAAATGAAACCGAAGAATGAAGCAGCTCTACACAACAACAACAACAATCACATTGTCTTGAAAGCGAAAAACGTGAAGAAACAGCTGAAAGTAAAACTGCAATAGAAGGGATTGAATCTCGATGGCACGTTCATTGAGAGGCGGAATCATACGGAATTCACGTATTATATTTCATTCTTTAATCCTTTGTTCGATACGGTCAATTCACAGCACACTTACACTTTTATGCCACAGAAAGCGCAAAAAACATTCTAATATCAACCTAATACGATGCGAATTTATTTATTCAAAGTATCCATTTTCTGAATTAATGATAGAAGCCGAAAAAAATGTCTTGTTCAGCTAGGTTTGGTTCCGTTTCGGTGTTAAACGCCCATCATTTGATTCCGTCAACAAAATGACAATGATTGATGGACATAACCGTCAATTATTGATCTACATGCTCATTTTCGTTGTTGTCGAAATCAATTCTAAATCCAAGTGGTAACCAATTGATAGTACATTCTAATGGCAGCAAAAGAAGAAGCATCACAAGGCTATGAGAGAGAACATATCAAACACTATGTTTTTTCTTCTTTCTT